TATATGGGATGCAACAAGGAGAGAGCTAATTAACCACACAACTTGATGCAACAAGTTCTAAAGTATCACTTTTTTACTACAAAACACAAGCATGCTTCAAAATCCACTAAGATAAAGTGCTCTCAAGACATTTTCAATTCATCAAGAAGTAAGAAAACTAAGAAACTGCAGCCTATTAGCAATAACTATTTTCAGTTATTTCTTCATTTTTGAAAAGAGACACCATTTTTTTGGAGGATTATAAGTAGAGAATGTTGTTCCTAATTCGTCCATATATTCTCCTAAGTTATACCCATATTATTCTTCAAATCTAAAATACCACAAACCTCTTTATTACAGAATTCTTCCATTATTACAGATTATAATGCTTCAAACTCTTGTCTCTTTTTCATCTATTACTATCGAATTTATGTTATTGTTTATGTATAAATTAAATTTACATTGCAATACCTATAGCATATATAAGAAAATTGAATTCAAGCGACCATTAGTTTATCAATCACATCAATTACTCATAAATGTGTAAAATAAAACGTCACGCTAAATATTAATGCCACCATCACCTATTTGTGAGAAATTGGGTTGTGTAGCAAAGATTTGTAGACAAATTAGCAAACTAATAAAAAACTTAGCAAACCACATATTGTTTTGCTAAGGAATCTCAACATTTTTTGTCATTCACCTAATTAGTCTTCTAGTCTTTGTTATATAGCTAACTATCCATTTGTCATAATATTTATGTGATCCTATGACCCACATGTTTTTGTGTGTGTGTTTATTGGCTTTTCTGGAAGCAAGTTCAAAAGCAACATTTGCATTATACAAAGCAATAAGATTATACTTAAGCTTAACTGTACAAAGCAAAATATTACCAAAACAAAAAATTAGTGAGATTTATTTTTGGTGACAACATAGAATCTTAAATTTATTCATCTTCAAGACATATTAAAAATCATTTTGATTTAATTTTTGTCTCAAAAGTTTAGATCGTTTATCTTTATTTATCTGGTTCAAATTTATGTTTTCTTATAACCGATTTTGAGTGGAACATTGATTTTTCACTGAAAATATTGAGTTTTATATTGATCGTTAGTGGTTGTGACATAATTTTTTAATATCAAAAACATAATTAGCTAGTTTGCTACACAAAGAGTTGTTTCCTAATTAAAAAACATAATTGGCTAGTTGTTTCTGCTACACAAAGAGTTGTTTCCTAATTAATAAAAAAAAAAATTGTACCAATGATGTACAAATATCTTTGAATTAATCTTTGATGTTGAGGAAATCTTCAATCGTTGGCTTGATAGTTGTAAAAACTTTTAAGTATGAATGTATCAGAATCAAACACCAACTTAAACTCATCAATGCATAAAGATCAATTCGCGATGAGTTTCTCGGTGACGATGTATGATGGTTTCAGGATCGGTCCCTTGTCACTTCCTATTGGATCAGATGTGACCTGCACACTTGTCAAATCCGTCATCACTTCAACCGGAGAGATCAAGAAGTACAAAAATTCACTTGAAAGTAAGAGACTCAATTTTTTCTCTTTTATCCGTAGTAAATGATTGATGCGTTAACTTAACAATATAATTAAGTACTTGAGGACTTGTGCAACCACAAACTTAAACAATATAGGAGGAAAAAAGAATTTATGTTAAAGATTCTGAATGACAAGGTGTTGATGATCGAAAACAAACTAAGGTTCATTCGGTATGTGGCGGGCGGAAAAATCAAAGTGGCTGAGTTGGATGTTAGTCAACTTGTTGAGGTTATGAGAGAGGAAGAGTTCAAGCATTTTAGTGTTGGAGAAACCTCGAAGTCCTTCGATTACATACTAAAAATGGAGGCAAAAGAGTTTTTTGAAGTCAGAAAGTTGGAAAAAAATTTGGAGTCGCATGCTCTATAATTCCGGGTCTTGACGAAAATCAGTTTGATGACATTCCATAAAAAGTTTCGACACATCATTATCCATAAAATCAGTTTGTTCAAAATTTCTTATGATCTCGATCTGAGCATCATGCCGCCAATAACTTCGGAATTAGAGGATCCTGACAAGATAACCATCGAAGGGTACAGAGAGAAAATACGTTGATGAAGACGATGACTCGAAAGATGCGTGCGGAACTTTATACCCATTTTTTTCAGAAACACACAAGAAATTAATCGCACTTCGGATTTTTTTGGAAACATACAGTAAACACAAATTTCACAGTTATTTGATTATCAGGGAATAAAGATGAATACAGAAAAAATACTGATTTGTCAATCGTATACATAGGTTATAGGTATATGTAGATATATAAATTTCCTTTTTTCCTTTTTGTTAAACTCTAATGTGTTTCCTTATTTCTTTTTTTTTCTTTTTCGTTAAAAGCTGATTGTGCATAATTACATTCGGTTCCCATTGTCTCCATATTAATAATACAGACCTTTAATGTAGAGGAAATTTAGAAAAATACCTTTAAAAAATTTTAAATTTTGAAAACTACACCTTATTTTGATTTTTTTTTTTTTGAAAATTACACCCTTTTTTTTTAGATACATTTACAGAATTATCTTTACTAATGACTTATAATTACTTCAATACCTATATTAGATTTGAATTAATAAACACACATTTTATGTCATTTTTTAAAAATATTTTTTTGATAATTATCGGTTGCAAACACTTGATTTTTGCTGTTTAAACGATAAATCTTAGTCTTATAGGTGTTAATATTTCAGTGGTCATTTAGTTTCGAATGTTATATTACTAACTGACTTGAATTAAAATATTAGACCGGACTAAGACTCTAAATCTTTAAAAATCTTTCTAAATGCACAAATTAATAACACCCCCTAAGAATTTTGTTCATCAGACAAAAGGAATCAAGCCAATTAAACCAACTTCGACAAACAAAGAAATGTTAACCGGACTAACCCAATAAATTGAGAAATTTTGTTCAAGATAATTATATTTGGTTTGAGTTTCGCCTGCGAGGTGTATGTCGTTGAATTTGGCTGTTAGATATGCGGATGTGATCAACTCTGTTGTGCTTCAGGTGTGTCTTAAGTTTCTGATACACGTTTTTGGTNTNNACNTNNAATGACCAAGTTCATTTCTNAAGTGTTGAATCTAAAGTATTTGTTGTTTGCTGCATAGGATGATTTCTTGCCGAGGACAGCTACGCCTCTAAAAGACATATTCAAGTCTCTTTTCTTTTAAAGCTATCTAATTAGAGCTTTTGGTACTTTGTGTTCTCATCATGGAGAGTTCTCTTTTACTTTTTAAGAGCTTTGTTAGTTAACTTTGTTTTGTAGGACGATTTTATCATTTCTACACGCAAACATCTTCTATTACTTTACTTGTAAAGAGGTTTGGCTTTTGATTTTTGTGTGGACAGTTTGCCATGTCTGTTATGTATAAGGTGCATGAAGGATACATGAGTTCCAGAACACAAGATGCTCAAAGATCCTAGGCGGCTTTACGCTCCTGGTCGCATTTATCACATCGTCGAAAGAAAACCTTGCAGGTACATAACATATATACACACAAATCTATAGATACACTTTGTTTGCAATTTGATGTCTTATGTGAGATTACATTGTCATGTGACGATAGAGAGAGCATTTGACCCTTTTTGGGTAATTGTTTCTTGCAGATTAGGAAGACATCCTCCGGTTGTGAAAACCGCAGTGCCAGTGGACGGAAGGTTCGAACACATTGTTCTTTCTTGTAATGCAACTTCAGACCANGCCATCATCTGGATTGAACGAGAAGCTCAGCGAGCTCTCAAGGTAAGTATTCACCAACCTCATAAGACTGATAAATCCTTATCGCTTAGTACGCTAATTCACAAATATCTTCAGCTAATGTTGGAGAAAGAGAAGACAATGGAGATACCAGAGAAGCAAAGGATGGAGAGACAAGAATCATTAGCTAGAGAGCANAACTTGGAGTATCGAGCAGCCTTAAGACGAGCAGTAATGTTAGACGTTCCTCACGCTGACTCAATGTCCTCTGAGTACGGAACATTTGACAAAGCTCAAGAAGGCGAAACCGAAGAAGAAGAAACAGAGAAGATTGCACCAATGGTTGGTGA